ATTCCCCGATTTGCCCATAGCCAGGTTTAATGAAGGCATTTGTACTTCATGCACTGGCTGTACCTGCCTCTGCTGGCACAGTCCCCATCCCGTGCTGCATGTCCACCATGCCCTGAGCCCCCTAAGACGCTGCATCCCTGGGTTTGTCTCAAACGTGGGTTTGCTTCCTTCCCTCCAGTCCTAGCTATGCTGGAAACGTTCCCAAAAAATGAAAGCCAGCTCTTTTCTGGGCTTTGAAGTGTGGAGTAGAATTGAACAGAGGAAAAAAAAATAAATCTATTCAATGGGGGATGGGTTTTTAGAAAAAAACCTATTGAGTCAATGGCATTTGTATTAAAAACAGCGAGTCCTTGGAGTGATTTCCATAGGAACCAGCCCTCCCGTTCCTGGCAGATTCCCCGCAGCAGCGCCCAAGGCTGCAACCGAGTCGGGAGCAGTGCTGCAAGGGGGGAGCTCTGAGGTCTGCTCGCCCCAGGCAGGGGGGAGCAGGGCAGGGCAGGCTGCTCACTGTTGAATAAGTGATTCACAGCTCTGATTCACAATTCCATCCTATAGCCATGGAAGACGGCCAGATCTGGTCATCAGCTGCGTGCCTTTTTCCAATGTGAGAAGTTATTTTTGGGTGCTTTCAGATTACAGCACTTGTTTTTTTCTGTGCCTTTGAATTCTGGATGATTGCACTGCAAGTAATTGAGGAACTTGAATTTCCTGCTTAGAGAAGTGAGCTCAGTACCATTTTTTGCAACTCTAAGGCATTTCTAAAATAGCTTTTCTGTGTGGCATCATGGGGAGCAGGCACACAGCTTTGAGCCTGTTTGTGCAAAATTTGGGAACACTGGGTGCAGTAGGTTTGCAGAAAAGGACCTGGGGTCCATCAGATTGAACATGAGTCACCATTGCACCCTTGCTGGGATGGAGACTGACTGTATTCTGGGTTTTACTGGTAAGAGTGTAGCCAGCAGGTCAAGAGAAGAGATGGTTGCCCTCGATTTGACGCTTAATGGGACCACACCTGGAGCTCTGTGCCTGGTTATGGGCTTGCAACGGCAACAAAGATGTGGCCATATGGGAGCCACTAAAATGATCAGAGGTCTGGAGCCCATGGCAGGGGAGGAGAGGCTGAGAGAGGTCCTTCAGCTTGAGAGCTAGGAGAAGAGTCTCATAGCTGTCTTCAGAGGTGCACAGTAAAAGGACGAGAGTCAATGGGCACATGTTGTAACAAGGCAAATTTGGAATAGACGTTAGGAAGCATTTTTCACCCAAGGGTGGTCAAACACTGGAACAGGAGGCCAGAGAGACGGAGAAATCTCATGCTCAAAATGTGACTGCTCAAAGCCCTGAGTATCTAACAAAAGGTTGGATGCAGCTGAAAGTTTGACCCTGTTTTGAGCGGGGTGTTGGGCCAGAGACCTTTAAACCTTCATTTGTCTGGGTGTTTCATGTTCCTCTCCATCTGAATAAGTCTGTGATTTTTTTGATCCCACAAGGCATTAAGGGGATGTAGGGCTTTGGCTGTCCCCCTGACACTCGGGTGTAACCATAAGGCAGGGGCCAGTGAAGTCCACCATGTGAGTTCAGATGTGTTCACTCCCTCTCTAGGACCAGAAGAAAGGAAAAGGGTGTGAAACAATGCCTGTCTCCCCATCCTCTGGGGATGAACCTCTCTGCTCATTGGTGATGCAGGGTCACCCTTCCCTGGCGACGCACACCTCTGAAACATGAGGTCAGACCTGAACAAGATCCACATGTTTCTTGGTACAGCCACTCTTGTGTTGTGACCGTGTCACTTAGCCCCTTCCCAGGCTGCAGGGACTGACCACGGCCCTTCTTCCCACCCTTTCCAACCCAGCCCTGTGCAAGTCTTGTGCTTGGTGGTAGCCAGCTCTCCTGTCTGTGCCTGTATGCAGCCCTGAGGCCAAGGATCATTGGGGTCATTGAGAGCAAGGACCACCCAGTTAGGGAGCTCAGCGAGGCTGGGGATCCTGGTTCTACCTCCCAGGTGAATGCCCTGACTGCAGGGTGAGCCTTTCCTTCCACGAGTTCTTGCTGTCCTAGGGCACAGATGCATGGCTTTGATAGAGGCAGGAGGAGCTTCTGTCCAGTGCAGCCCATGTCCTGAAGGAGAAGTGGGAGGGGAGGAAAGAGTCTTTTGGGAGGTGGAAAATGTGATGCCGACACTGCCACGTCAACGAGGGAGTTGAACCTGGGCCTCCAATTTCAAAACAGAGTTCAAACCACTGGAATATTACAACTAAAGGAAAAAAAAAAAAAAAAAAGGATTTGACACTTCCTTGTGCTTTCCCTTTCCCCATCTCTAGATCCTATCAACGTTCTGGGGCAACCCTGAAAGCCAGGAGCAGTGGCTGGGAGGCACCAGGGTGTTGTTGGCCAGCTTTTCTGCAGCCCTGAAAAACCCGGGAACCTCAGCTGCCTGCCAGGGGGGCACCTGGTGGGGCAGGAACTGCTGGGGTTAACTGGTAGCTGACTGGGTTGAGGTTTGTAATGGGGTTTAGGTTCCTAAGTCCTTTATTGGATCTAGCCTGAGGCTCTATTCCCAGCCCTGCTTGTGACATTAACAGGTCACTGCAGCCCCAGGGCTGTGCCTGCCCTTTGTCCTCTCTGCCTGGACTGCCTGCACGCCGCACACTGGCACAACCCCGAGTGCAGGGCAGCGGTACTCACGTCCGAGGGGTCTCAGCGCAACCATCATGCAAGTGCTGAAATCAATTTGCGAGGCGAGCAAGCCTCGCTTCTGGCTTTCTTGAAACTGTGCCACCACATGCCTCACGGAGGATGGATATAAATAGTTTTTGGGATGCCCTGGGTTGCAGCAGACGGCAGGTATTTGAGAAGCAGTGCTGTTGGCAGTGTCACGTCAGGGCAGCCTCTGCTACGTTAGGGATTGTTTGCACCTTCCACAGATAAATCAGTGTGAGAGTGCTGTCCTGTGCCTGGCTGGGGACGGATCAGGCAGGCAGTGCAGAAGGGGAAGGGACGGATGGTTGTGGGGTCTTGGCATTCCCGCATGTCTTTGGGCAAGTTGCTTAAGACCAGATTTTCTCAGAGTACCGGAGAGTGTCCATACACACATCCTTTCGTGCAGATCTTGTGTTTCAAAGGGAGTTTGCCCATATATACCCCTCACTGTGTCCATACCAAGCTGTGTGACCAAGCAGGGCTGTGAGGGGCCTGATCAGAGCTCACGGGCACTCTCATCCATCCTGTGCATCTGCAGTTTTTCTTTCTGTGTTCAGGATATTTGCACAGGGAGGACGGGGAAAGCTCTTGTGCACTCAGGGCTTCCCTTCTTGCAGACCTTTGATGCAGCTGGGGCAGTAGATGCCCACGCTCCAAGGTCACTATGGTACATACAACCTTCAAGAATGTGCCTGTGGTTCTGTCCCATTTCTGAAATGGCCATATTGAGCCTGTCCTATGTGTGAGGGATGCAGTGGGTGCAACTGTCGGGGGTACTTGGGCAGCGGGATACTCAGCGCGGTGGTGAAGAGCCCATCTGCCACCCAGCATGCAACGTTGTGTTAGCACTGGCAGTGCCTACGCTGGCATTTGCAGCATGCAGGGCGCTCAGCGTTCAAGCATGGAGCTGCTGGCAAGAGACCCCAGAGCTGGGGGAGATCTCGGCTGCTTGAGCACGTCCAAGCAGGGCTTTGGGGTCTGAGCAGGGCTTTGGGGTCTGGCATGTCCTGGGTGCGAGGGTCCACGGCAGTAGAGGCGGAAGCAACCTCCGTGCCTTGCAGCCTGGTGGTTTGAACACTTGCCTGGGAAACAGGCTCAGTTGTCTCCAAGGGGAAGGGCTTTCAACCCCCCCTATCTCAGTTCTGGAAAGCTCCCAGCTGCAACAGCAGGGCAGCCCTCGTCCCAAGTAAGCCAGTGCACAGCCAAGGGGCAGATTCTGGCATCCCAGTGGGCAGCAAGAGCTGCGGGTGGTCAGAGCACTCAGGTGGGGGATGAGAGACCAGTGGTCTGAACGATGCGGTCACTTAGGGTCAGAGCAGAGGAGGACCCAGGAAGCTGGTGAGGTGTTTAGGTCTCTCTGCTGGAAGCAGAGAGGTGCCGGGGGGGCTCTGGGAGCGCAGCCCTGACTTCTCCGGAGGGGAAGTGTGAACTGTGAGCAGTGGCCAAGCACAGCTGGCACCTGGCAATGTGAAAGCGGGGCTTGTTAGAGTGCGCACAGACTGCTGATTGTACCCTTGGTCACAAACCCTCCTTAACCAAAGCATGGTAGCATCCTCAGAGGTTTGCCAGGCAGATCTGTGGTGTTCCTCCCCTCCTCATCATCCAGTCCCAGGGAACCAAGGTGGGCATCCCCCTCCTTTCTCTCCTGTCCCTGTTGCTCCACCTTCCCCAGGACTGTTTGCTGCTGGCTCTGCAGAGCTGGAGGCTGCTCGTGGACTCCCTTTAGAGCAGTTTTCATGGTGCTGGGCGGCTGGCTCCATGCTGGTCCTAAATTCCATCACATTGTGGGGTTTTCTCACCCTCAGTCTCACAAACGAAGCTGCAGACCAGAGTTGTAGCCTCAAATAGCTTGAAAGGGCCACCTACTCACATGGCCTGCAAAAGGAACAGAGGACCTGGTCATACAGGGGTGCATGCAGCTCTGGGACTTCTGGACCAGCATTTTTTTGTGGTATTATATTGGTGGGAAGGCACCTTCGGGGCTTTTGAGGTGATGAGGTGCTGGCTGTCTCTGAAGTCAGCAGGCGTTAGGTAGGTGTTGCTGGAAGCACCATTGAGCCCTCAAGTGCTTTTGGTATTGGTGGTTATTCTTCAAAAGCCTGGAGAGGGATAGAGATCTTGAGTGTTATTTAATAGAAGGATTTAAAGCCTGAAAACGCCTCCCTGCCAGTAGACAAGCCTGCAGCCTTGGCTTCTCATGCTCTCTGACATGCCTACTCCTCCTTACGGAGCTGCAGTAACTTACTGTTTCTTTTCTTTTCCCATAGCTCCCAGAATGGAGAGGAAGGTGGAGCCTGGCCGAACAACCAGTTTGACACAGAGATGCTCCAAGCCATGATCCTGGCTTCAGCAAACGGTTGGTCTCCGTTGCGGGAAAAGCACAGCACTTGCTCTCGTCCGGACATCTCAGATGCATGCCATTAGATAAGATGCTGGTGGGACTTATGTATCTGGGATAACTGGGGTGTCTTCAGAAGTCCTTCTTCAACAGTTGCTGGTGGAAAAGCACTGCTGTCTGTGTTGCCCTGCAGATGAGAGAGGTCAGGAAGGATTCAGGCAGGGGAGATACCAGGTAGCTATCAGCGTCAGGCATGCTGTGGACAGGCTTGGGATGTGGTTGTGTTACGTGAAAGAGCCGGTCTTGAGATGATGTTTTGTAAACTACTTGGTTCCAGAAGGACACAGTAAATGAAACATCTGTTGTGTTGCAACTTGCTGTAAGGTGAGGAGGTAGATTTGCTTATGGCTAGAAGCTAGGCCAGGAATACAGTAAATGCCTGACTCAGTATCCCCAACAAACCTCGTGTCCAGAGATGCTGGTGCGTGCTCCTTGCTCATGCTGGGTCCCTCCATTGAGCTCTGGGCTTGCCAAGTTTTGCCCCACCAGCTGCTGGTGGTTCTTTGCAGTCATAATCACCAGGGTTTGGTCTGGGGTCATTTTGGGCTCATCTGTTCTGGTTTACAACTGTGCCATGTTGCAAGCAGTGAGCAGGGAGGGGTGTTCCCATGCACCCGCGGTCTCCATGGCTTTATATAAAAGAAGTGCAGTTATCACTCTGCGCAGCACTGTGGATAAAGAGGCTGGTTTTCATACAGCCTTTATTTATAAATACCTCCAAGTTTTTTCCCCCCTTGGTTTAAAAATAGAAGCAACAGCACAGCCATAAACCCCTGTGCAAAATGCTTAGGATGTTTCCTTTGAGCTGTTGGGAGAGAAGGAATCTGGGGGAGGAGGGATGGCTTTGGTGTTGTTTTCTTGGAAAGCTGCTGCAGCTGAACTTTGCCGCTCTGCAGACACCAGGCAGCCTGGAGACACAGCTGCCGTGGCCAGGGAAGGGGACAAAGGTCTTGCGCAAGGGAGTTGTTTACACTCAAGGGAAAGAAACAATGTGAAAATGTGTCTCTGCTCTGAAAAACGACTTTGGGAAAATAGCCTATGGGGTTGCATGTGGTTATCATCACCCGATGCCTCCAGATCCGGTTTCCTTATGCTCAAATGAAGTTGTTTTTCTAACTGCTGCGCCAGCAGCCCCCAGGATCAGAGAGCTGAGTGGGTCCCTTCCAGGTTAAGCACCGACTTCCATGTAGCCCCAGCCCCATTTACAGCAAATCTCCCCCAGTTCACAAGTCTCAAACAATCCTAACCTCTCCCACGGCTTCAGTCTGCCCAGGGGGTTAGTTTAAATCAGATCCATCCACTAGATAAGGGCTTTCCCTGCTGCAGCCCCGGGGAGAGGATGGCTCCATGTGCTCCATCCTTTTCTTGCCCATGCCAGTCCTTTGACACGCTGGCTGGGGACACAGCACAAGCTTTGTCCACCACCACTGTCTTCTCACATCTCCCCTGGTCCCTGGTCCCCGTCCCCCCTTTTCTGCTCTCAATAGCTAATAGCGTTGATTGGAGCAGGCTTTAAATAGGGGCAGTGCTAATTGCCCATTAAGCTTTGTGCTGCCCCTTGTTGGGTAATGTTTCCTTGTTATTTAAATGATCCTTATCTCTTACTGTCACCTGCTGAGCTGAGCTCTGTTTGAGCTCCAAGGTGGCAGGTGGGACGCTGTGACAGAGGTGATGGCACTAAGCCTTTTGCTCACCCACTCCTCCAAGCGAGCGTGAGCTGCTCCCGCACAGACTGGTCGGTGGTTGATGATGACTTGCACCACACCGCATCACGCCCATGCTCCAGTCTGCGCTGAGCAGAGACCAGCCAGGAAAGTCCTCTAATGCTCTGCTCCATGATCTAGGGATGCCCCCGGAGAAGGGGCTGGTGATGCCCTGCCTGCATCCTTACCCTGTGCCAGGGGTGATCCTTCACTTCAGCAAGAGGCAGAGCTGGCCCTGCCATGCCAAGCCTCTCTGCCCATCCAGTCACTCTGAGGATTAAATCGCTTGCCCAGTGGTTAAATCACCCTCTCGAGCTAGAGTGCCTGGGGAGCTGATTTCCTCCCAGAGCTGCAACCCTGCTGTAGGGCTTCTGTCTCCCTTCCTGGGCTCCCTTCCTCCAGATCTTCCTCCCTCAGAGCTGAGAACAATGTGAAAAGCCAATGTTTTGAACCATCTGAAAGGGCAGAGGCAGCTGCTAAGACAGACCAAGGAGCACAGATGCTCCAGGACACCAGACACTAAAGGGCAGACATCCTGTCCTTAAAATACTCTGGCTTCCAGCAAGAATTTATAGGGGTGCCGTGAGACGGCGGGAGAGCAGACAGGCAGCCCGAGGAGATCCTTCTCCCCAGCTCCACTGCCCACGGGCAGGGGCAGTCGTTCTATATTTGGTTCTCCTGAAAGCCCCACCAGCAGCTGCAGCAGCACATGCTGCCTCTGGCCGGCCTCTCCTCCTCTCTGCTTATGAGGGCGATGGAGCCGCTAGCTGGTTATTTTTTGCCAAAGTCCAAATTCTTGTTTTCCTCCTCAGGACCATTTTGGATAATGGTTGGCTGCTGGTAAAGGCTGAGCGTAACCTTTTCAGCGACAAGAGCTGAAGCACCCTCCCTGCTTGGCAAGAGCAGCTCAGTGCCCATTTATCAACCTCTATTGTCCCTGTTCTCTCTTCTTTTCAGCCTTAATGTCAATGTTACCTAGAAACAGCTCTTTGCTAATACCCTGGACCAACTCGCAGGCTGGGAACTTTGCGGGCGGCTTTTTCTCCCCCATGAAAGCTGTGCTGTGACTGCAAACTAGTTCACGGGGACCAGTTGTTGCCAATGCCGCTGGGAGCCCCCAGCATCCTCGCTGCCCTGGTGCAGCTTGGATGGTCCAGGGGGAAAGTAGGGCAGCGGCACCCAGCGGGGAGGGCACAGGAGAAGGTGCCTAAGCCCACCAAGCCCCCAGCTGGGCTGTATCCATCTGAGGGAGCCCAGAAAAAAATTCTCCTCCGCTGCCAGAGGCCATAGTCCACCTGTGAGCAGGTCCCTGGCTGCAGCCTGGCCTCACAGCACATCTCCAGCCATCCCATCAGGGTTTGTAACACCCTTATGGATATGGGGTTGAATTGGTTGTTACTGTTGCTGCTGATGAGGCGAGTGAGGATTAGCCATAAGTATCACTGACTGTATACGCACATCTCCTCCAGCCTTCCCCAAGACCAAGGTCCTCAAAACCCCACCAGGTCTGGGACCCATTTAATGGGGAACTGTAGAAAAGTTCTCCTGCCAGTGAATGCAGAAGGCGAAATGACATTTCCCACAATGTTTTGCTGTGTTTCTACACCATCCTGTGCATCCCCCTTCCTCTCTGCACAATATCCTGCCTGTTTTCAGACTCGCTGTGTGTTTTCCTCTGCCTGCTCCAGCAGAGCAGCTGTAACTTTTCAAGCTGCAGTTGCTTCATACTTCCGACCTCTGCGAGGGGATGCGTACGCAGCAAGATTTCAGGGGGTTAGTGGGATGTGGCCCAGTTTTTTGTCTAGTTTTCTGGCTGGCTTAGCCACCCCCATCTGCTCAGGGGAAAGCAAAAGCAACATGGAGGCGTGTACAGATCTGGTCTGGAGCGAGGGAAAACACGAGAGGACCAGTTCTCTGCTCATTGTTTTTCTTTATTGCCTCAGTCTCTCCACCTGCGAAAAGACGGAGTAGCAGCCCTGGACTCTGCCTTGGGCCGTTCAGGTGCCCTTGCTGGGTTTCTCCAGCCTCCCAGGACAGCATGTCCATAGCCACATGCATGAAACAGTTAAAAGGCTGAGACACGATCCACAGTATCCAAGGCAGAGACAGGGTTTTAGCAAATCATTTCTGAGCAGGGCTGTGCAAGGATCCCACCCTGAGCCACGCGCGGGCAGTCATGCTGGAGCAGATCTCTCAGTGCCTCATGGCAACAGCATCGCTCGTGCCCTACCATCCCCCCTCCCCATGCTCATTTCTCCCTCTGCCTCTGAGCATCCCCCCAGTCTCCATCTGGTCTCTACCTCCCAGCAGTGCCCCAGCATCCCGGGGGGGCTCTGCGCCCTTCCCCGCCCCTGCGTTTGCTCTCTCCATGATGGGGCTTTACAATGCGGCAGGAATGAATTTGCCTTCCCCTCCCCCTCCTCCCAGATCTGGACCATCAGACGCGCTTTGGCATTGATTTGCTTCATGCTCAGCTTCCTAGAGCCATTTTCTGGTACTGCAGGGGAGGGATTTTCTTTCTTCTCTCAGACTCTCTGAATAAACCTGGCTGGAGAAGTACTGGGCGCAGGGTTTTAAATGCAGTGGAAAAAAAAAATAAAATATTGGATTTCCCTTAATGCATTACTAATGGTTGTGGCTGAACAATATGTTTGTAATGGGCGGCTTTCAGAGCAGGAGGAGGTGTGTTTTTCTGTGGAGGCGGCAGCCAGGGAGGAGGGCAGAGCAGGCAGCATCAGGCAGGCAGGGAGGGCTAAGCAGCCCCATGGCTGCCAAGGGCAGAGGAGAGGTTGCCTCTATCCCCAAAGTCCAAACCTTTGGCAATGATGTGAGATGGAAACAAGGGATTTTGGTGCCAGCTGCGCCGTGTTCCCCAGCATACGCATTGTAACCATCCCACGGAGCGATGGGGCTGAAGGATAGTGAGGGGTGGGGGTGAAGGTTGGTGGCACTGAGGTCTGGGTTTGACACCCAGTGAGAGCATTTCTGGGCTGCTGGGGCTTGGTGTGGTCCCTGACCGGCACTGATTATCTACTCTTCTCTTTTGCCCCCCCCTCTGATGTCCCCCACAGAAGCTGCTGATGGCAACTCGACCCTAGGTGGTGGGACAGGCACCATGGGCCTAAGCGCCCGCTATGGCCCCCAATTCACCCTGCAGCACGTCCCTGATTACCGGCAGAATGTCTACATCCCGGGCAGCACTGCCACCCTCACCAACGCCGCTGGCAAGCGCGATGCCAAGAGTGCCGGCTCCTCGGGAGGCAACAAGAAGAAATCCGGGAAGAAGGAGAAGAAGTAGAGAAGAAGAAGGAGACCTTAGAGTTACAGGGCAGCCGGCTCCAGCACTCCCCCAAACCACAGCCCAGGCCGGAGGACGAATGTCAATTTTTTTGTGATGCAAAAAGTAGGAAACGCTGCGAATGTATCTCCTCATCATCAGAGCTAGGAGCAGGGTCTCGCTGCTGTTAGATCTCATGATGAAAACCAATCTGGAAGCTAAACCGAACGCAAACAAGTGCCCTGTGAATACTTGCTCATGTTTTATATGATCCCTCGGGTATTAGAATATGCACGGGCAGAAGGTCTTGTGCCATGTCTTTGGATCCGATTTGCTCCCAGATAGTCCGAGAAAGGCACAAGGCTTGTGCTTGAGTTTGCCCAGTGTAAATAATCTTAACATGGATCTTTTAATTTATAGACCTTCGCTCATTTTTTTTTTTTTTTGGAAAGGAAAAGGCAGTTTCTAGCTTAGAGCCAATGCTCCAGATCTTTGCTTTAAACTTTCCATTAGTAAAATTCACCCCCAGTTAATGATAGTGATGGATTTGTTGCTAAGAATTTGGTAGGGAGTGCTTCAGTTCCTGCTTACCTGTTACCTGGGAAAAAAAAAAAAAAAAAAGTAAGTGTTTATATTGCATGAGTTAAAGGGAATACGGCAAAGCTGCATCCTAAACATTTTTTTTAGAAGTGCAACCATCAATGGCCTGAAATATGAGACAAAAAAAAAACACCCAACCCACCCTCCTGATGTCTGAGAGGTAGGGAATTCAATGAGGAGTGTGCCGAGGTGTGCGGCAGCTGCCCCAGTGGTTCTAGGGGTCTCCGAAGAGCAGACACATCTCATCCCTTCTTTGCAGTAAATATTTATATGTACAGTCAATGTTCTTCTGGAATTAAAGCTAAGAGAATCTTGTTCCCCTGTGGCCAGGCTCCTTTCAGCCAGCCATCTGGCCAAGTCCCCACCAAAGGGACTCGGGGGATGATGCTTCATGTTTCTGCACACCGTGTCTGCATGCACGTCCTTCACCTCACACCTGCACTAGCACAGTTAGCTCCACGGACCCACAAAAGTCCTCGCATGCCCACATAGTGTGGTGTGAACATGCCGGCAGCTGCCCAAGCCTCTGTGCTGGGGCTGCCTTGGGGGGGGGTGGGTGGGATTTTTCAAGTGGGGTGGGGAAACTCATCGCTTCTTATTTGGGGTGTAGACCCCAAATAAGGGGGCTATATGGGGAGAGCTGCCGGCATGTGGCTTTGGTGCAGAGTTGGCAACCGAGTAAGTGAGAGTTGGTTTGGTGGCGCGTGGGGATCAGATCTGGAGGAGGGACCTGAGAGCTGAGGGTGACGCTGCAAAGCCAATAAGCCGGGGCAACAAGGGGGTGGGTCGCATGGTACCATGCCAAGCCAGCCCAGAGGAGGTGATGCTCCTGCTGGCTTTGGGCTTTCCACCCCGTGGAGGGAATCAAAGCATGAGGAACAGAATTTCACCATGTGCCCATCACCCTTGCACCGGTCCAGCTTCCCATTTCAAAGCAGCTCTGAGCTGTCCCAGGAAGGAAGAGAGGGGCTTTATGTAGCCAGAGGGAGGAGAGGCTGCAGGGTGGCCAGGAAGGGGCCACACTGGGTTTCCCAGGGTGTATGTGGTGTTTTTCCCTTTTTTAATCACTAACACATAACTCACCCGAGCAGATCCAGCCCTCTCGGCCAGGCTCCAGCATGGCAGCGATCACCCCACCGCCACCCCCTCCCCAAACCCAGGGCAGCAGGAGCATCCGCTGTGTTTCATCCAGATCCAGCCACCTCCGGTGCTGGATGCGCTGGGAGCGGTTCCCACCCTGTCCCCTGCAGCTGCCACCTGCCCCCCTCTAGAAATGCTGTAGCTGAATCGTAGTCTTTATATTTCTTTTTAATCTTCAATCTGAGGTAGCGTAGTGAGTGTCGTGTATTTAGTGGCGTGTTATTTTTAATCTCGGTAACTACTTTGTGGACATCAGTATTTTCAATTTTTCTCTGTATCTTCTTTACATGTGGTCTGTGCTCCGAGTGTACGTGAAATGAAACACGTTTGCCCTTTCAATGTGTCTAATATTGAATTATACTTATATATTATATATATGCTTATATCCTTCTTATACCCATATAGACCAATGTCAATGTGTTACACGCAAGTTTTATACTCTAATATTTATATTGCTTTTTTTCTTTGGAAAAAAAAAATAATAAAATGGTTTCTTCTGAGTAAACGGTATTTATTTCCGGTGGGAAGAGGGTGGCACAGATGGGGCCTCTCCATCCTAATGCTGCCGCTGTGCCGAGTCTGCCAAGGTTGAGCCCCTGCCTGGCTCCAGCAGCGGGGATGCTCTTGTGACATCACTGTCCTGGAGTCCCCCAGGCCTTTGGGCTGAGGGTGACATGGCTGTGGGTAGCACCAGTGTGTTCCTGGCTGGCATTTTGGGGGAAGGGGAGGGCAGACCCTGTCACACCCCACTGAGGACACTGTGGTGTCCACAGCTACAGGTCCTACCCCAGCCCCGAGGGGATCCAGTTGCCCTTCCCCATCACTGGCAGGGATCCGGTCACCCTTCCCCAATCCCAGGGGGATTTAGTCACCCTTCCCCAACCCCAGTGGGGATCAGATCACCCTTCCCCATCACCAACAGGGATACACTCTCCCTTCTCCAAGCCCGAAGTGACCTGCTTTATGGGAGGGGGGGTCAGGCGCTGTTCCAGGGCCCCTCTGGCCAGGACGAGCACCCCCACCCTCTCCCTGCAAGAGAGTCCAACACAGGCAATGGAGAAACGTCCCGTGAGTCAGTGTGTCACAACTTCGCGGAGGAAAAAAATAAGCTGCTGTTGTCCAGATGTGAGGGGGAGGGTGGAGGGGGCGGGGGCAGAGCAGCCCCAGGAGACAGACAGACAGACAGACACATAGACCCCGGGAGTGGGGGAGTTCTGAGTGGGGGTGTGGGGCTGGG